CCGCCCGAGCCCAGCGCCGCACCACCCTGCTCGCTGCCGCTGTCTCGGTCCGCCATGATGCTGCGCTCCGCCGCCGCGCCGCCGCCTGCCGTTCCGCCCGCCGCCTCAGTCGCCTCAGCCGCCGCTGCTTTCCCTCCCCGGCTCCGCCTGCTGCCGCCGCAACCCCCACAGCCAGTCAGCCACTCTCGCGAGATCTGCGGGAGAGACGAGACAGACGAGACCCGGTAACAGGGCACTGACTCCCCAGTACAGTAGCAGGGCGCCCTACTGTACGCGCCCACCCGCCCGCTGGCACGTGACCTGCGCCCCTTCCCCAAGCCAGTCCCCCTGCCCGCCTGCCCGCCAGGCGGCGTCCACCAGCCAGCCCTCACCGGAGGGGGGAGCTGGACGCGCCGGTCGCAGCTCTTGCTGCCACCGCAGCCACCACCACGGCTACCACTACCACCACCACCACCACCGTATCATCCCTTTTGGCCAGACCCTAAGCAGCCTTGGCTTGCGGAGTTGGGGAACTAGGGTGAAAAGGGGCATGCCATATTAAGCATAGAGAACAGGCTTGACACTGCTTTTCAGTGACCCCCAAAAGAGAGGATGTGGGGGAGGGGCCTGCGCAACAGCAGAGTCTGCTGCGGAGGGGACACCGAGTCACAGCCTCCCTCTCCCACGTGGGCCTCAGCCAGACCCAGACCCAAACCCAGACAGGCCTGCCCGCCCGCCCGCCACCAGGGCAGAGCAGGGTTGTCTCCTACCGCAGAGCTGTGGCCGAAGAGGCGGGAGAGAAAAAAGGTGGTGCGGTGGTAACCCTTAGCTGCAAAGGGGGCTGCGGGGATGAGGACTGGGCGCCGGCAGCAGTGGCGCGGAGCAGCAGACACCTAGCCCATCCCTCCCCTCTCCCTCCCCTCGCTCCCGCCGTTCCCCCTCCCCGCGCACGGCAGCGGCTCTGGCCTCAGATGATCCCGATCCCCCCTCCCCCCAACCGCAGCCCCGCACAGTCGGGCGGGCGCACTCACCGGCGGGGGGAGCGGAGCCCAGGGCAGTAGCGGCACCAGGGCCCGGGTGCCCGCAGTGCCTATTCCTGTAGGCTATGCTGTTACTCCCAAACAACAACCAAAAAGAAACCCACACTCACCCAAAAACCTGCAGCCAGCTCCCCTTGAGACCAAGACTGCCTGCCTGCCTCCCCCTTCCTCCTCTTTCCCAGATTTGGGGAAGGGGGGCATCCTGCTCAGGGCTCAGCCCAGCCTGGGTTGTCCGCCAGCTCTGCAGATGAACCAGGCCCCAACAAGCATTCAGACCCTAGCCCACTCTTCTTTGGAAGGACCCAGAATGGAGGAAAAACTAAGCAGGCTTTCGGAAATTCATGAGCTAAAAATGTCAGGAATTTCCTGGGAAACGCAGTTCCTTACGGGATTCATTAAAGCAGGTTCACTTACCCCTTTATACTCTTCCTCCCAGAAACTCGTATCAAGGAGAACCCCCGCCCCTCTCTCCCCCAAGTAAAACATTAAAAGATCGCTGGATTTTGTGCACCCAGCCAGGTTACCATTAATTAACCAATCAGCCTTTGGATGGTGATAGCTAAAGGGGCTTTTCTGCGGTCATAGAACAGGGCTTAGGAGTAAAGAGGGGGCTCGGAAATAATTTTCTTTCTTCCTAAAATGTGATGCATAATATAGGGCCCATTTTCCAGCTCCCAGACAGGTAGTGAATGCTCGTATTGGCTTCACTGCAGTGTGCAGTCCTGGAGGCTGTGGCAAAACTAAGGCCTGTTTCCAGGGGACCCTTGCCAATGACCCCAAACTCATCACTGAAGAGGATACAGATCATGCAGCCTTACCCCTGGCTTTTTCAACATGGATTGCTGTTTCTTAGCCTAGTAGTATGCCTACTCTAGCTGTGGGTTCCACTCCCATTGAACTGCTTCCCTCCTCCAAAGGATAGAGACTTGGGTCCCCCACTTAGCTGCAGAAACATAACTACATGGTTGCCTAAAGGAGAAGGGATCAAGACGCCAAGAAGATTCTAGGGAGATTATATATATATATATATATATGCCTTGCCAGTGCCTAAGCCCTCAAAGCTGTGGGCAAACCTGTGTGCTGGATATTTATTCCCCCCCCCCGCCCCCGGAATAGCCCCATTTTAAATCAGCATTAGCCACTTTGACTACTTGCTGCTAAAGAACAAGAAACAAGGCAAAGAATTCTGACCATCAAAGAGCAAACTGGAGGCTATGAACCATGTATCTGTATCAAGTGGTATCTGAAAAAGCTCCCTGAGGAGGAGGCTCTCTCTGAGAGACAGAAGCTTTGGACTTCACAAATTTCTCTTTAATTTGTGAGCAACCTCCAGTACCACATAGAGCCTCTTCGGTGTTGAGTTTTCTGCACTCCCTCCTCTAGCCCAAAGTCTGATGGGATAGGGGAAACAGGAACTTTAGGAGTATTTCTTACCACAAAAACAAATTCATGAAGACACAGTGATTCCTCCAGGTTCCCTACAGGCTCCTACAGTAATAATCAGGACCCTGGATAGACCCCAGCCACTCTGGGAACTAAAAGGCTGAGAGCAGGGTATCTGCATAAAAGGAGGCGTGTTAGGCTCCCACGTGTAAACTTGGGCTAACAGCAGGTGAAGTCCTATTCACCGCTCGCCTGTCCGGAGTTTGCTTTACAAAGGACCAAACCCCTCTTCCCACCAAGAGAGCTCAAGGCAACAAGGCCAAGGAGATTTTGATGCGGCAGCCTGCCCGCCAGTCCCTGCCATTCTTCCATGCCTAGGGTTCCAAATTGCCTTCCCGACCAACTTCGTTGTCTAAATTTCTTGCTCTCTGTTCCAGCCATTTATTTCCAGGGGTTCTGAAGCAGTCTGAGTTTGGTAGTGCCCCGATTTTCTGGAAAAACAAATGTGACTATCACCAGGAATTGACTTCTTTCCCAGCGCAGAGGCAACTGATGAGGTTTCTAGACAGAACACAAGTTGAATTATCATTTGCACGCTTGAACTAGGAATTTTAAGTGAAAACTAGCAAATGGCTGAGACTCTGCCTAATTATGTGCTGGATTTGTGCTATTCATTATATATGTAATTTCTGCCTGTATCTGACATTGTCACTTTTTCTTTTTGTATCTAAAAAGTAAACAAGATTAATTTTTTCCAGAACAACTCAACAATAAATTAGCTAGATAGCCTATTTTTATGACTGCAACAAGAGAGTCAATTTCAGGATAAGCCCCTTAGTTTTTTTTCTCAGACTAAGGTGAAAGGCGGCTTTCCTTAGCTATAAGCTATGGCATACATCTTAAGCAGCAGCCAGGGAGGAATGAATATTCACTCTCTGAAAACAAATGTTTAAAACTATAAGTAGAATTTCAACGTTTTTAATCTGTGGTCTAGCATTGAAGTTCCATAAGAAATTTTGTGGACTTAAAAAGCTTCTAGCCAATTTATACCTAAATATATGAACGTGATGAATGAAAAACCTGTTCTAGTGTTCAGCTGTTTGAATGTTACTTTAAAGCAAATAGTTGTACCACTAACTTTAAATTTTCATTACACTGTAGGAAAGACAAAAAGGAAACGAAATATTAACATGCAGCAAATTAATATGCAGCAAAATATCTATGTCGATGAAAATCATCAAAAATAGAGTCCCCTTTCCTTCTAAATGTGCTTACATTTTAAAAACTTGATAAAGATTTCTAGGTTCTTTGAGCCCCTTTATTAACAGTATACACGTTTTAAAAAGAATCAATACTTCTTTATTTTTAACCCCACTATGTATTTAACAAACTAAACCACAAGATATTCTGCACAAGGAAACAGACATTAGGTGGAACAAGAAAGAAAAAACCCTCAATTTTCCTCTGCCTGAACTACAGGTGATTCTGAAATAATCTAATTCAACTTTGATTTTTAAAGTTAAAAACCAACACATACTCATAAAATAAACGAGGCTATTTACCTCTGGGTAGTAAACCCTTTAGAGTATAGCGTTCCCAACAGAAACAGTATGTTGATTAATACTTTACAAAAGCACAAATTTCCAAAATAAGAGAACATTAGAACTTGTTTTCAAATGCTACTTGGGGTTAAGCCAGACAATTATCTTCAATACTCAGATCATTAAAACTAACCAGAATACTAGGTTGCAAATGTTCAAAGCTAAGGCATTACCCATTTCATCTCATGATTATCTACCAGGAAAATTAAGGGACGCTTTCAAGTAAGCCTTAACATTAACAGCAGCACCAGCATCTCTCAGTACCAGCACTTCAGGATCCTTTTTTAAAAGCTTTCGATAAGCCTAGAAATCTAGAAAATTATGTTTCTTTGATACTATATTAGTGTTTAGAATGAAAGATATGAATTAAATATTCAAAATTCAAAGAGAACAATTTCATGATATATAATCTTCACATTTCCCAAATGTTTTCATTTTAAACATTTGCAGAAGAGTTAAATTTAGCACATATTGTGAATCCCACCAAAAATTCAGAAAACCCAACATTTTATGCCCCCTTAAAGGTCCAAACAAAAACCAATTCAAATGTCAAAAGCTTTCTCTTCCGTCTGATACTTAAATGGCTTTACTAGTACTGTATTCAAAGGACTGATCAGCAACTTTTCCCATACTCTAGTCAACACTCCAATTTTCAAAGCCGCAATTCCTTTTAAAGTCTTTTGGGCGGGGGCAGCGGGGGGGGGTCTTAAAGTAAAGCAAAAATTTCCTTTCCCCTCTGGCAGTCTACCAAAAGATGTCAAACCAAATCCAACCAAATCTTGCCTATGGTAAAACACAGGGACCATCCTTCCAAGGACAAGGGACAGAAGCACAAACACCGCTACTAAAAAGATGTCCAAACGCTCCTGGCTAGACAGAAACGTTAGGGGCCCAGATCAGAACGAAGCATAACCCCGAGAGTCCCCGCAGGGACAACAGAAATTAAGGTGGCTTTTTTTTTTTTTTTCGGGGGAGAAGGGGGCGACAGCTACGTTACACGTACCAAAGTTACCCTGTCAGTCTCTCGGGGCCTCTCTCTACCAAAGTTCAGGTTTATGTCAGATACATTTGTGGGATCTCTTCCCCTATATCACAACATGCCTCGGGGCCCCAATGTAGCTCTGAGCGGAGACCCACTAGCTTCACACTCTTTTGCCCCCCTCGCCCCTCCCCGGACAAAAGCAGAGGCTATTGGGCTGACCTAGCGCTGTGGGGCAGTAAAAATGCCTTGGTGGGGCCACCCATCCTTAGGCCTGGCTTCGTCAGCACGGATTTATCTGTTTTGCCCGCTTTTTAAAAAACAACGCATCCTGGGGAGTATATGTGACTGGGGAGGAGGGGCAGAAGAGAAGAGGGGTTGGTAGTGGGGTCTAAATTATAGATCCCTCCTTCCTTTCCCCACCTTCTAGGGTTGCCGCGAGGGAGTGTCGGCCACGTCTGGCGCAACGTTCCAGGCCTCGGGGCCACGGTGGTCAGGGAAAATGGGGCTCAGGGACTGCTAAGAAAACCGCATCATTGATGGTTTCCAGCGCCTACCGAGGGAGAATTTTTTTTAAGGGGTGGGGGGAATATTATTTTGTTCCTTCTCGGAAGTGGGAGGGGGTTCATTCGTTTCTCTCCGGCAAGCGCGCGGGGGGGGGTGGGGGGGAGGGCGTTGCTGCACTGCCTGGTGCACTGCCTGGGTACCCGAGAGGGAGGGTGCGGGGATGTCTGTAATGGTACCATAATTACTCCTGGACTGAGAGGACAGGTGGAGGGGACAGGGTGGGCGGCACCTCGAGCCTTGGCAGTGGCAGCGGAAGGTCGCGAGGGGCTTACCCAGGCGGGCGGGCGGGCGCTGTCCTGCCGCAGGTGAGGGAGGGCGCAGGATGGAGGGACGGCGCGCGCGCGCGAGGCAGGCGCGAGGAGGCGGGAGGGAAGGCGCGCGCGCGCACACCTGTCCTGGACAGCGGCGCAAGCCGAGCTGCGCCTCTCTGGGGCTCCACGGGCTGAGCCGGGAGGAGGGCGGGCTGACAGGCGGGGGCGGGACGCCAAGGGGAGGAGGAGGAGGCGGCTCGGACGGGAGGCGCGGCCCTCGCTCACTCTCCCTTCCGCGGGCTGGCCGGGCTCACACCCTGCGTCTCCCGCTCACTCACAGCCCCCTCGGTTCTCCCTCCTCCTCCTTCCCCAGCGGGATCGGCTCACCGCCGCCGCCGCCGCCACGGCAAGTCGTGGCAGCCAGACGTCGGCGCGTAACCCGGCGCTCCGTGCGTGACTCCCGGCGACGTCAGCGCGCGCCCTGCGCTCCGCGTCCCCCACCCCCTCCGCGGCTCGCTCCCTCCGCTCGCATCCCTGCGTTTTAGCTGCGGCCGCGGCGGCCGAGCGCGCTCCCCCTGTCTCGCGCACCGCGCGCTCTTGAGCGCGCCTTCCCTGCTGTTGGCGCGTCAACATCCCGTGGTCCAGGCCCTAGGCGAGAGGAGGATAAGTCCCCGGTGCTGCGCTTCTCCCACCCCGCGTCAGGGGCGTCGGGAGGCGGCTTGTCTCCCGCTGGCTTTTGGAAGGCCGGGGCCTGGCGGAGGCGGCGGTGGAAACCTGAAGGGCCTGCGCCAGCCTGGAGTCAGGGCCTTCCGCGGCGCTGCGGCGCTGCCGCTTCGTCACACGCCCCCTCCCTCCGCCCATCACCCTGGAGGCTGGGAGCCTTTGATCTCCCGGGAGGGTCTCACCTTGGCCTTCAGACACCCGCGGAGAGGGGCTGGAAGGGCAGGATTAGCGGAAAGAGGCTAGCCCCGGTTCAGGCTCCAACTCAGGGAGTCATTGACAGGAAGTGTGGGGTTTCTGCCCAGCCTGTTACGCAGCATAGGTGAAGCTGGGCCCCTTGGTGGGAATGTGACTAAGGACAAAACCCTGATAAATACTATTTATACGTCTTTAGGCAGAGAGGGAAAATAAAAGAGTCAATTTTCATAAATTGCAAAATGCAGAGCTATAAAATGTCCTTTAAGACAGTTTTCTTGAACTCTTACTTGGACAAGATTTTGGTGCACAGTAACTTTGCGTTGTATGCTGTAACATCTCAATCATGCAACGGTAAGTGCATAGAATTAATGTAGATCAATTCATAATGGTCTGCAGAATGAATGGAAAACTGCTTTCACTATCTTTGTAATTATTTAGATAGATCCCCAATCAGTGAACCTGTTACTTAGGAAGACAGACACTATCCTAACTTAAATAGCTGACTATATTTTAAAGTTATCTGAATATTACACGACAAATACCCTTTTCCTAGACAGTAGTAAACTTAAATTCTATTATCAGTCTTCAAAATTTTTAGTCTAGTGAAGCCTATGAGTAAAGTAGGAATGAAAAGTGATTTATCCTATTTTACAGATGAGAAATTTTGAGTTCGAAAACTAAGCCAGTTGTCCAGTGTTTCAAGGACTGTTGCACCCATGAAGGAGAAAGCTTAGGTCTATTTATCACTTAGTTTGTCCATTACGCTCCAGTGTTTTCTTCAAGGTATTTTTCAGTGCCCTTTTTATACATTGTGGGCAATGTTTAATGTCTGTAAAGAACTAGAACTCAAAAAGTGTTGATTTTTGAGCCATAGGAAAAGATAGTAATACAGTGTGAAACAATTCAACTCTAGTATTTAAAGCAACAAAACATTAATCCTAGTTTAGAGGTGGGATAATGTTTGAGATGGGTTGAAGAGTGATGGATGGGTCATTTCCTTTGAAATGCCTTTTTATTCACCTCATCTTTAGGTGGCAGCACTACTACATAAATATCTTTAAAACTATAGTCTTCTGCATCCTGATAATCCGAAAGAATATTTTGTTCTAAATGCCTCCAACTACAGTCTAGAAATTAGAAGCTGGTGAAAATAGAAAATTGGAGATAAGAATTAGAGCACAGGAGGCTTTAGAGGAAGAACACCAGAAGGCTAACAGAGACTAATAAAATACATGGAGCTACTAAAGGAAAAAAGTAAAATGTTTCAAAAAAAAATTTACACTATAAGAAACGTATCACTTTTAAATATGGTCTTTTAGGGGCTGGAGAGATGGCTCACTGGTTAAGAATATTGGCTGCTCTTCCAGAGGACCCAGGTTCAGTTCCCAGCACCACATGGGGGCTAAGGACCATCCATAACTCCAGTTTTTGGGGAGCCAACACCCTCTTCTGGCCTCTGTCGGCATTACTTAACACAGGTGCATTTACATAAAGGCAGGCAAAATATTCGACATTTAAAAAAATTACATATTGCCATTATCGAAATAGTACAGTATAACTTTACAAAACCATGATTTCACAAAACTTTCTATTTATCAAGTATAAGTTTAAGGTTGCTAGTCCTGTAGTTATATATATATATATATATGAGTGTTTCATGTGTGTAAGTACATCTGTGTTATACAGTGCCCACGGAAGTCAGAAGGGGGCGTCAGATCCCCTGGAACTAGACTTACAGACATTTGTGAGCCATGTAGGTGCTAGGAACTGAATCCAGATCTTCTGCATGAGCGTCCAGTGATCTTGACCTCTGAGCCACCTCTCCAGCCCTGTTGTTGTTTTTTTAACTGCAATTCTTTTTTGTTGTTTGTTTTTTGAGACAGGGTCTCCCTGTAGCCCCAATTGGCCTGGAATTCACTGTGTAGACCAGACTGGCCTCAGTCTCACAGAGATCTGCTTGCCTCTGCCTCCAGAGGTCTAGGATTAAAGGCATGCACCAGCCCACCCAGTTTTAACTGCAATTTTTATTTTGGGGGCGGTATTTTTGAGACAGGGTCTCCCTGTAGCCCCAGCTGTCCTGTAACTCGCTGTGTAGACCAGCTTGCCTCGAACTCAGAGAGATCTTCCTGCCTCTGCCTCCGGAGTGCTGGAGCAAAAGGTGTGCACCACTATGCCTGGCTTACATTTTTTTAATTTAAGTACAATTTTTTCCAATTTATTAACTATCATGTTTATGAGGACCCCAAAATAGGACTTCATCATTAACCTTTGTTGAACTCTTCTTGACTTTTTTCTTGACTTTCCTGGATTGTTCATATGCAAAGTAAATTACTCTCCCTCAAACTTAGGGACATGAGAAGAAAAGCCAAACTAGATGTAAATGGCAGCAATTTACAAGTAATTTGATCTGAATTTCTCCTACTTATTTTATATTTTATATTTATTATTTATTTATTTTTGAGACAGAATCTCATGCAGCCCAGACTGGTCTCACACCCAGTATCTCCTTCATTTTTGAGGATAACAAATTGTGATAGATGAGGATTGTTTGGATCAAGTATTTTCTAAATAGAACTTTGTCATAATTTATTTTGTTTATAGTAGTTATCCCTGTGCCTGTTATCCAAGTAACCCAATAAAATTGAATTTACATGCATTTCATTTTAAATTTATTTTTATTTTATGTGTATGAGTGTCTTGCCTGCATGTGAGTGCACCACATATATGCATTGCCGGAAGAGGCCAGAAGAGAGCGCATAATCCCGAATGGAGTTACAAGCAGTTGTAGGTGCTGGGAACTGAACCCAGACCCTCTGCAAGAGCAGCCAGGACTCTAACTGCTGAGCCATCTCCCCAGCCCCAGAATTTGCATGTATTTCAAAACAGATTGCATTAGATTTGCTGTGTAAACATAACCACCAAGGGATATAGAGGCATGACAACCAAGTGGGAAAAATCCAGTTATTTCCAGAGAGAGGAGAAAGTGTTAACAAAGTTCTTCTTGATGACAGCTTATATTTTTCTCTAGTCAAACTTGGAGGAGGAGTCTCAAGTGAATTGGTAGTTCTCAAACTCAGTGGTATTCTGTAAGATTTTTAGGCTCTCTGGTGCCAGGGAATCATGCAGCCTGGGGCCTTTGCTCCAAACTTCTGCCAACACTGTTTTGGCAGTAAAATGTTCTAGTGAACAAAGTTTGCACGTGTTTAGGGTGTGAAGTGGTTCCATGGGCATTTATCTGGGTTTATTCCAGTTTAGGGACTTGAAGACAAGGGTCAGAAGCATGAGACAGAGTTCATATGTGCTCTGAAACAGATAAGATCAGCAATCTTCAATTTTTACTTAGACTATGAACAGTTTTTTTATTGGCGTGGGAATTACTGAAGTGCACCTTTTAGTTTACTTCTTAAAATTAACATGATATTAAACCAGTTCTCATAAGCAAACAAGGCCCTCTCTGGAGAATTGGGGAAAATAATTCCTCATCCTCCTACCTATTAATACCACCAAAATGGATTTATTCAGATGAAACTCACTAGATAATAATATGCAGGCATAGAGTAAAGGGACCAGTAATTAAGTTGAATCTCATGTCAAATTCTATATATTTATCAGTCTCTGATATTTTTTTGTCTCAGTTGTCTGGTTTCATATTTGTAGTGTTCCTCTTCCCATCCTGGACTCACTGGTTAGTGTAGTGTGGCACAAATTTATGTGCTAATTTGTCTTACTCAGGGTTCCTCTTCTTAGAAACATACAATCTATTTTCATTATTTTTGCAAATAATTCTTTTTTAAAAATCATTGCAGAATCCTGTTTTAACCATCAAGAGGCTGTGGGAGTATTCTTTTTGCATGGTTGTTTTTATTTCCTGGTAAGAGTAATGGAAACTGAGGCTGGAAAGTGGCTCAGTGGTTAAAAGCACTGGCTGCTCTTACAGAGGACCTGAGTTTGGTTTCTAGCACCCTCATGGCAAGTAACAACCATTTGTAATTCCAGTTCTAGGAGATCTGATGGCCTTGTTTGGCCTCCAAGAGTATTGCACACATGTGATGCACTTACATTCATACAGGCAAAACATTCATGCATATAAAATAAAGATCAATAAACTTTTAAGTAATAGATAAAAGAAAATTAAAGGTAACAGATACTGAAATAATACTGTTGTCAGATATTTACCATGATCAATAGAATGTCAATTTGTAGGTTACGAGTACAATAATTTGAAAGTGTTATTC